TTCCTTTTTTTTTTTTTTTTCTTCCCTATTTTTGCCCTTTTCTTGCTTTTCGCAGCCCCTATCCTTTCTTTATCCTTTTGCTTTTTTTTTCTTTTTTTCTTTTTACTTTGCACGTTTTAAACCACTGTCTGCCAGTGGTAAGTCCACATATCCATATCCCTAATAGTGCACTAACACCCATTAAAGGTTTTTATCCTGCTTTATTTCTTTTTTTTACGCGTTTGTCGCGTTTTCTTGGTGCTTGGTGCCCCAATTGCTCTTTTTTTTGTCTCTCACTTCACCTAAGGATTGCCCAGACACAACACCGGTACTGTAAGTTTCGACAACAGGCGATGATTTTGACACTGTAGACAGCAGGTGGTTTGGCCATGAACTTTTACAAAATAATGCATTTTCTGATGATTGCTTGAGTGATTCGACGTTCGACCTCTGGAAAAACTTGACATCGCCGGATTTTTGATCGAGTACAACAGTATCCACTGGTCTAAATTTGGAGCAAAATGGTCAGCCTCATACAGTAGGGACTAGGGAGAAATGCGTAAAATATTGTTTGGCGCTGTTTTTTTCACTAGCAAACTCGAATCTCGAGATTTCTCGCGATTGAATGATCTGGTTCGTGAAAAATTTTAACACCGCTGAAGAATGAGTTCTACCATCATCAAGTGGTCCGAATTTGGGTCCTGATGAGCGAGTTCTGATGATGAAGCGCCAGAACAGTATCAACAGGAGCCACATAAAAAACAGGGGTCAATCTTCTACTTTTGACAATGAATGCATTTTGCTGCATTTTTGAGCTTGTTTTTTGCTCAAGGCTAACTCGACGAGAATTAGTTATAGCATCTTAAAATGGGAATCATCAAAAAGAGCGTATCAGGCTGCATCTGTGGATGCTACTGTAGTTATCTGTAAAAAATAAATGACTTTGCCAGTGGAGACACGAAACAGTAAGTGGAGCGCTTTCGCCAATTTGGATGAACAATCGTTAGTCCCACAGATGCGTTAGCCGCTCGTTGCCCTTGTCAAACTTATGTGCCAGGAGCAGTCCTAGCTGATGAATGCGTTAGCACGTCCTTGTAGTGCGTCGTGCCAAAGCCAATCGTTTGCAAAGTTAAATCTAAAATCACTCATTGCTCGTCAACGAGCAGATGGATCGCGCCACTTCAGCCTTTTTTCATGGTTTTCCCAAGAGGACTTTCCTTGTGTACCAGTTTGGTCAGATTATGAGGACCATAATTTTTGATTTTCGATTTGGGTGCTTGCAACGGCTCATTCATCTCCTGAGAGATTCACCCGTGCAAGTGCTCTGAGAGTGATTCCTCTTGATATATTGACCCCACATTGCTTAGCGCCGGTGCAATGAAAACAGGGGGCCGATCAGGTCGTTCTCGAGTAACTCCCAAAAAATCCATAAACATTTTGAGACTCTTTGCTCCACCTTGCGTTCGTTGAAAACCGAAAAAGTGCTTGTAATTGATAGCACGTCGAAGTCTGCAGGTCTGGTCATGTCAAGACATCTTATTTCAATGAAGTGCTGGCGACAAAATTACAAAATGCTGCCAAAATCATCAGTTTCTCGAAAAGCAATCTGTCAGCTTTTCATTTTTATGCAGCTTTCGGCTGCAAAGTGGGCGAATTTTCCCCGGTGTTCCATGTTCATCGCTGCATTGTACCTGTACATCAAGTAAAGGACAGTAGTGTGTGGTTTGCCTTTTTTTTTTTTTTTTTTTTTACGCGCATCGTTTCATCTCGCTCATGACTGCCAAAAAGTGAATAAAGGGCATTTTGTGTGTCCACAAAAGTTTTTTTAATTGCCCAGTTAGCCAATCGAGTCATCTCGCGTCATAAAATACTTTGCATGAACGCAGAAATACCAAAAAGGGACCACCTTTACGTGCATGTCCCAAAGAGGCAAACATGCGTCGTGCGGGGGGCAAAAAAAAAAAAAAACTATTTATAACGTGGGTGCGGCCGTATTTTTTCTTCTCTTTTTCAGCTTGTTCTCATAATTTTTAAAGAAAAATGTCGTCGGACAAGCTAAATTATAAGGGGGCAGACTACTCTGCTTTCCGTCCGGTGTACCCAGCCGAGCTGTATGATCTTGTGTATGAATTTCATGCGGGTGAGTGGCTGGAAGCCTGCGACATGGGCACGGGGACGGGCCAGGGTGCAATAGCGCTGGCGGAGCGGTTTGCGCATGTGACGGGCATGGACCGGCTGCCCGACATGATTGACAATGCGACGCGCAAGGCGAATGTGTCGTACAAGGTTGGCCGGGATGTGGACCTGGCGACGTTGGGTGACCGCGCCGTGGACATGGTCACGGTGGCAACGGCGTTCCATTGGTTCGACAAGCCGGCCTTTTTCGACCAGCTGAAGCGCGTGCTCAAGCCCGGCGGCACGTTTGCCACCTGGACGTACTATTTCCCGCTCATCAAGGACGCCCCAGAGGCCAATGTGATACTCAAGGAGCAGTGCACGGAAAACGGCCCACTCAAATCCTACATGGACGACCGCGTCCACCATGTGATCAACATGTACAGAGACATCAGCTTCCCTTTCAAGACAGTACAATACTACATCACCCCTGAATCAGAGGACACCACTCACATCAGCCTGCCAAACAACATTGTCATGCAAAAAACCGTTACTCTGCGCCATTTCCGCAATTATCTCAAGACCGCATCTTGCTACGTCAACTACAAGAATGACGCCGCCAACAATAATAAGCCTGATCCCGTCGACACCGCGGTTGAAAATGTCGCAAAAGAGCTGAACAAGAGCCTGGATGACACTGTTGATGTTCAATGGCCTCTTGTCTTGGTTCTCTGCAGAGATTGATGGTGTCTCTTGAAAATAAAACTAGTAAAAAAAAAAAAAAAAAAAAAAAGCAATTGATTTCCATGGCAACCAGAGCGGAACACGCAAAGGAAAAGCGCGGGGTTTGATTTTGGTCGCGTTGTGTGCGAACGATGGATCAATACTCCGTTCAGAGCCGCGCGATTATGCGATGGCTCGCTTTCGGCGTTTGATTGCATCGTTAGCCGCTGCTTGCACAAAACGTATTCTCTTGTGAAGAAAATGGCGATTTTCTTTTTTTTGCGCCGTTTTTGCCCAGATTTGACTATTATAATTTTACTTTTTTTAGCATCATTCGACGCGGCGGATCAAACAACATCCAAATACGGTTAGCAGAACCAGTGGCTTAGCTGCATTTTTTCCAATTAGAAATGCCAAGGGAGACCGCTCCTTGTATGGAAACATAGCGGCTCCATGGCGTAATGGCGATCGCGTCAGACTTCGGATCTGAAGGTTGTGGGTTCGAGTCCCATTGGAGTCGATTCTTTTTTGCTTGTGGTTTCATTTTGTCTTTTTTTTCTTTTTTTTTGCACCAGTTTGATGCAAAATTGCCCTGCTTTTTATTTTACAGAGATTAATTGGAGAACTTTTTGTTTGCAACCAAGCAAAAGTGGGAGCGGATCATCGAGGTGTAACGAGCTGTGCCACGAGCCCCGCTGATTTTCGATTTACGATCTGTGAATTATTCCGTTGTAGAGTGCTCAGCAGCACTGAATGACGAAATGGCGTGCCAATTTTGCATGGACATGCGACATGTGTACCACGTGCCGGCCCGGTGAGATAGAGATGCGTGCAAAAGACGAGTGTGTGAATTTATGCAAGTCTTTTAATTTTTTTTTTTAATTTTCATTGAATTTTCTTGCAAACGAGGAGTACAGGGAGGGTGTTTAGCAAGCGCAAGTGCTGCTTTGCGGTTTGGCATCGGTATTGTGCAGATCGACCTTTTCCACTATGAAAAAAAAAGGTCGTGAGCGAGTGGAAGAGAAAAAAAAAAAAAAAAACGGGCATTACTCTCGTCCTTGCCGCCGTCCGACTCTGATTTTTTAGAAGTTGGCAGGGCATTGGCTATTCGTCGAAACAGGGTATTGACCTTTATGCCCAGGCACAAGGAGATCGAGTAAAAAAAAAAAAAAAGAATGAGAAAAAATGATGCTATGGCCACGTTCTCGCCCAAATGGTGTGCTTACATTGTACCCTGCCTTGGCGCTCGTCTCAATGAACATGATGTTGTAGTCCTTTGCCTTTGCCTCGCCCTCTTCGGCCGACACTTGTCTAAAAACAAGGATGTTCAGCCAGATGCCACATTTTTGGGCCTACCAATTGGCCTAGCTACCTCTTGTCCAGCAAGTCCGTCTTATTGCCAACCAAGACAATGATCACGTCGGTGCCTCGCTCGGCGCGCACGTCGTCAATCCACTTGTTTGTGCTCTCAAACGATTCGCGATCTTTCAAAGCACGTCAGCAACGGCCGTTTATGCAAAATAGGTTCGCTTTTTTTCTTTTTTCTTACTTGTTGTGTCATACACGACAATGGCGACTGCCGAATCTCGAATATAACTAGGGATCAAGGAGCGGAACCGCTCCTGGCCGGCGGTGTCCCATAGCTGCAGGCGAACGGCTCGTTCTGACAGGTACCTAAATTAAATTAAAATGAGACGGAGGGAGCAATTGGCGAGCAATTGACATTGCGGGCGTGCACTTGCATTGTCTTTGACAAAAAGTCGATGCCAATGGTTGCCTAGCGGATGGAAGGGCAAAGAATGATTAGGCGATTTTGCGGGCAAAATGGGACAAAAACGCGTCTCCCGGCTGAATTGTTACCTGGTAGGTATTGTCAAAGGTGTCATACATAAAGCGCGTGATAAGCGACGTTTTGCCCACTAAGAAAAAAGGCAGGAGGCGCGTGCACGTCGGGTCAAAAGTGGGCAATTGGTCGCTTTTTTATCTTTTTTTTCCTAGTTTACCACTTTGTTCACCCAAAAAAACAAGCTTGCTCTTTTGCAGAGGGTTGCTAAATTCGTGCGTTGTCATGGTTACGTTTCGTGGTGCAGGTGGCTAGTGGCGGGATGAGGAAGGAAAGAGGAAAAAGGGCGCAAGAAAAGCGAAAGCAAGGGGACGGGGGCCAAGGAAAGGAAGAAAGTGATAAAAAAATAGGAGACGCGGGCCCAGAGCGGCTTTTTAAAATAAAGGAGAGGAGCATGATCCAGCGTGTCACACGCGCACACCCACAAATGATGCACCCATAGGGCAGCGACGCATGATTGATCGGCGAAAGAGACAAAAAAAGCGTGATCTTTATTACCATCCTACTCAAAAAAAGGGGAGAGAGGGGAAAAGGAGAGAAAGGGATAGCTTGGCTGGAATAAAAAAAAAGTATCATCATCAATCATTAGAAAAAAGAGGTGAAAAAAAGAGAGAGCTATGGGCAGAGAGAGAAAAAGAGCGAGCGATCATGGATGAACTACGGGGGTGGGCGCGGAAGAAAGATGAACGGTCGGAAGAGAGAAAGAGAGGCAACACACACACAAGAGAAAAGAGAGAGGAGATAGCACACAAGAGAATAAAAAAGGGCGATTACTGCTCGTTTGCCTTAGGCGTCGGCCAACTGTGCTTGTGCAAGTCTGGATTCTAGGTTGCGCAGCGCTTCTTCCTTGGTTAGCAACTCGGCGCGCTTCTCTTGAAGCTCGCGTTGCACCTTGAGCTCGATGTCGCGCAGCTAAAAAAAAAAAAAGAAAAAAAAGAATAACGGCGCGTCAACATTTGCATCGTATTCCATCATAGCCCGCCACCTCTCTATACCTTCTCCTCCTCCTTTCGTAATTGCTCCTCCTTCAAGCGTACGCTCTGGCTGGCCATGTCTTCGGCGTTCAAGGCGGCATCCCTATAAAATAAAAGGTGAAAAGGGAGGTGTAAATTAATGAGTGACGCGTTTTTGCGCGTTTGCGGGGGGTAATTGGAGCGACAACTTACTCTTGCTCGCCGCTGTTCACGGTTCGGCTCAGCTTCTCGGTACGATAATTCTCGTATAAGAAATCGTGGGTGATCTCCTTGAGATCTTGCAGGTGTGAGCTGAGCAGCGCGGAGCGCAAGCGACCAAAGTCGGAGTGCTGCGGATTGTCGACCTCGACGGCGCCCCAAGGGTACTGGCGACCACGAACGGTGCGTCCACCCACCACAATCTCCTCATCGCTGCCAATGATGGAGAATGGCAACAGCGCACGCAGCTCGCTGTTTTCCTCGATTGTATCCTCGTCATCTTCCTCCACATCATAGGGGAAATTGTAGATGGGGATGTTGTAATGCTCAATGTCTTCCATGATCTAGGGAATGCGACCGCCAATGAGCAAAAAGGCGAATCCAAAAAAAAAATGACGGAAATCTTACGCGTTTCTTGAATTCCTTGAGCTCCAATGGGGTCAATGAGTCGGCGCGGCCAACGACGGGGATCACGTTGACACGGGGACTCAGTCGGCGCATCAGCTCAATGTCAATTTCACGGAGACTATCAAAGAATTAAAGAAAAAAAGAAAAAAAGAAAAAAAAAAGGCGTGTTAGGTATGCCATTCAGCCGGCCCTATTGGCATGTGCGTGTCTGTGAACGAATTGAACTTACGCATGGCCGGTGGGGGAGATAAAGTAAAGCAGGGCATGCACACGATTGTCACGGAAGCGTGGATTACGCTTGATGCGCGATTCCTCCGCAAGGATATCATCGTACTGGCGCTCCAGATAGCCGACGATCTCCTGGAAGCAACGCTCATTATCAATGTTGTCGCCAAAGCCAGGAGTGTCGACAATGGTCAAGGAAATTCTAAAAAAGGGGAGACGGACAGCAATGAAAAAAAAATCAGGTACCCAATCTTAGGAGAATTTCGCGCATCTCCTGTGTGCTTTCCTCTTTGGATCACCCTCGCTCTCCTTTTTTTTTTTTTTCTTTTCTGGACACGCTCGTGTCACCCACACGCGCACACACAGAGCGAGTCACTCAATCGCCCGATACTGCACGCTATGCAGATCAGGCATGTGCAAAAAAAAAAAAAAAAAATGGGAGATTCATACCTGACGCCATCTTCATCGAGCTCTGAGTGATTAAAAAAAAAAGGATGAGCGACGAATTCATGCCATTTAGGTGTCGAGGGGAGGAAAATGGAGCATGAATGGGTTTGTTTAAAGGGTGGATGCGAGGATGTGATCCATTGACTGGCAATGTATGCACGGAGATGGGCGTGAGAGAGAGTGTGCGGCCGAGGGATGCGGATGGACACGCGTGGTTCTTGAAATAAGGAGGAAAAGGGAGAGAAAAACATCCGCATTCAAGGGGACTGGCCGAAAGGAGAGAGATGGAGGGGAGAGGGGAGGAGAAGACAGAGAGAGAAAAAAAAACAGACAATTGCAGAGCGAAAAAAAGAGAAAGAGGAAATGGGGGGAAGACTTACCAACAGACACGGGCTTGATGGTGATGCCTTCCTCGTTGTGAGCTTCTTCCGGGTTGTCACAAACTTTTTTGCCAAGGACACTGGAATTACAGAGTGTGTTGACAAACGTGGTGCGGCCCGTACCCGAAGCACCTGCACAAATGGATGGCAATGGCCCATTGTCAGACCATTTGTACGCATTTTTTTTTTTTACTACATTACCGACGACCATCAAGGTGAATTGGAATCCCTTTTTCACGTTCTTTCTGCGGCCGCCTAGTCTCTGCTTGCCATGGAGAGAGGGAAATTGGGGGGAATGCAAAAAGGAAAAAATAAAAAAAACGAAATCAGATTCACGTTTCCAGCGAATTGGGAGCGCGCCTCGGCGGTGTTGCGTGCCGCGTGCCGCGCTACTTACATGAGCCATGGTATACTTTTTGGACGAAATAGTGCCGGATTATTGGTGGGGGACGAATGGGAAAATAAAACGTAGGGTAAGGATGCGTTTAAGAAGTGAAAGAGAAAAATCTGTCAGCTGTCAAGGGGAGACAAAACGAGCAAAGAAAGAAAAGAAAAGAGAAAAAAAAAGGGCAAGGGAAAGGAAAGCACAAATAAATGACGAGGAGAAAAAAAAATTCAAAGGTAGGAGCAATGTTGATGCGGAAGGGAAAAGCGGGGGAGAAAAAAAAAAAGGACGACAAAGAGAGAGGGTAAAAATAAGCATTGAAAAAAAAGGGGACTTGCAAAAAAAAGGAGATTTCTTGCTCATTCTTCAAGAGCTTACAGGGTTGCTTTGCATCGCCCAAAGAAAAAAAAAGGGCCCAATTGGTCGCAACCTGTTGTGTCAAACTTTTTTTTTTATTCTCTATTTTCTTTTTTTCATGAAGAAGCAGACGATGAAGGGGAATGCAAAAGGGGAGCCAAGGATGGGGCATGTGAAGTAGCTGCGAGAATGTGTGTTGCCTCGTCGACGAGTTTTGCCTTGATGAGGCGATCGATGAAGAATTGGGAAAACTGAGGGTCGTGTTGCATGGAACGGGGCAATTGGTCCCACAGGCGCATGGCC